AATTATAATATATGTCTTGTATTTCTTTTTATAAAACTAAGAAAATAGGTTAAAGTGTTATTTTCCATTTTTCTTACACAAGACGCAGTATACCAGATAACCCTATTCTGCATCTTGCTTTTTTCACTTAACAGCATATCCTGGAAATCATTCTACATCAGTTCCTAGAAATATTCCTCCCTCTGTTTTTAAATCCTACTGCATAGTACTCCACCTGTGTGGAATTTAGTCAGCTGCTGGGGTTATTTCCAATCTTTTATTCATAACAGTGCATATTTGTGGCAGTATATCTTTCTGAAGATTCTCAGAAATGGGATCACTGAATTAAAGGTAGAAGCATTTGTAATTTTGTTAGATATCGACAAAGTCCCCTCCATGGGGGTTATGCCATTTTTTCCTCCCCTCTGCAATGTATGAGAGTACCAATTTCTTTGTGGATGCATATTATACCTGTGGTAGGAAGCTTTTTGTAAAGGGATCTGAGTGACTTAAGATTCACCTGTTCATACTAACAGTGAACCAGAGACTGTCTGGATATCTTGGAGTCTCTAGGTTTGGGCAGAGACTTCAATGTATGATAGAGGACGTTTTAGGAAATCCTGTAATGAAACACAATTAAACTGACTGTAGCAGGTGCTGTTGGTGCCATGCTTAACTCTTGCCCTAATCAACTCAGTACATAACTGCCTAACTTCCTAACTAGTACATGCAGTTCCTCGCTAGTTCTCTGGTTCCTGGAGCCCACTTTGCTGGGGAACTGGTGAGAGTTGGTATATAAAACCCCAGCTCCCTCAGTCTTGGGGTAGTTAACTCTCAGGCTTCTAGAGCTTTCCAAGTGGGATTCATGTCCAGCTTCCCAACATGGTAACTGGCTTGACAATGTGTCCTGTATTTGTCCTGTCTAATTTCTTCCTTCTCCTACTGATGATTTTTTCACTTTTTCTGTAAACTACTTGCATACTTTTCTTAGGATCTGCTTTTTAGAAACCCAGACTAAGACACAAACAAAAAACCCCAAACATTTCCCCTGATTTGTTCCTAGAAAGCATAAAACACAGACATGTTTTTAAAAGTCACAATTCAGGAAAAAATAATTAGGTTGTCTATTAATAACTAAGCATGCTAGTCTTGTATCTCTAATAAAATAAATGATTATGCTAAAATGACTCAGTGAAGTCTTGATATACCACTTTGATATATGCCAGCATCAATTTTTTTTTTTTTTTTTTTTTTTGCAGTTTTTGGCCAGGGCTGGGTTTGAACCTGCCACCTCTGGCATATGGGGCCAGCACCTTACACCTTTGAGCCACAGGCACCACCCATGCCAGCATTAATTTTTTTTTTTTTTTTGAGACAGAGCCTCAAGTTGTCTCCCTGGGTAGAGTGCTGTGGCATCACAGCTCACAGCAACCTCCAACTCCTGGGCTCAAGTGAGTCTCCTGCCTCCACCTCCCAAGTAGCTGGGACTACAGGCCCCCGCCACAATGCCTGGCTATTTTTTGGTTGAAGCTGTCATTGTTGTTTTAGCGGGCCCAGGATGGATTTGAACCCGCCACCTTAGGTGTATGTGGCTGGTGCCTTAGCCACTTGAGCCACAGGCGCCAAGCTGCCAGCATTAATTTAAAGAAACCACACCACTGCCTGTGTAGAAACACAAAACATGTCTCTACTTTCAAGAAGTTTATAGCCTAGAGACAGTCCCTAGGTTATGAACAAGACAGGTTCTGTAGGTTGGTTCTTAAGTCAAATTTGTATGTAAGTTGAAACAGCTACATTTACCTATAGCCTCTGTTTGTGTGAGTTGTACATAAGTCGGATGTTTATAACTTAGACGTAAGTTGGATATTTGCCTGTATCTAGAAAGAGAAGATGAATGTAAACAAAGCATTAATTAATATGGTTGGAGCCCCAGTTTGTGAGATAAACCATGAGTGCTTGGACAGTAAGAGTTTATAATAAGCAGAGAGGCATTTGAGGAGAATTTCTTAGAAGAGGTGGGTTTGTGCTGGACTTCAAAGGATAGATGTCATTGCAAGGAGAGGAGAGACAAGAGCTGTTAGAGACATGACAGGATTGCAGGGATCTTGATCAAGTCCATAAAGAGTAATTCCAGAGGGAAATGTGGGTGGAATTGACATGGAAAACTCACAAGCTACACAGACGTTCTTTGTCCAAACCACTGCTGCAAGAAATGTTAAAAGAAGTCCTTAACACAGAAAGAAAAACAGAACACGTGGGCATTTTGATTTACATAGAGAAATTAAGAGCACTAGAAATGGTAAATATGAGGATAAACATTTTATCTCTTTTATTTTTTTATTTTTCTTAACAGACATATAACAGCTTTCTTTTTTATTAAGTCATTTGTACATAGATCATGAATACATTTATGCCATTATAGGATTCAGTATGTTGATTATTTTTACAGATTGGAGTGCTTACATCCTACTAATCAACATAGCCTTCACCTCATTTACCCAATTAAAGCATTAAGACATTTGTGTTCTATACCTGATAGATCCAACTTGTACTTGCAATATGCTCCATAGGTGTGGTCCCCCTACCAACCCTCCCTCTATCGACCCACCCCTCCTCCTTTTCCTTTTCTCTCCCCTTCCCTCCTTCATCCTAGGCTATAGTTTTGTTTCATCTTTCATATGCAAGTGTGAGTGATTGTAAATTGGTTTCACAGTACTACTGAGTACACTGGATATTTTTTTTCCATTCCTGAGATACTTTACTAAGAAGAATGTTTTGTAGCTCCATCCATGCAAACATAAAAGAGGTAAAGTCTTCATTTTTTAAAAAATACTGTATAATATTCCATGGTATACATATACCACAATTTATTAATCCATTCATGGGTTGATGGGCACTTGGACTTCTTCCATGACTTAGCCATTATGAATTGAGCTGCAATGAACAATCTGGTGTAAATATCTTTATTTTCAAATGATTTTTGGACCTTTGGATATACTCCTAGAAGAGGAATTGCAGGATCAAACGGCAGGTCTACATTTAGATCCCTGAGTGTTCTTCAAATGTCCTTCCAAAAGGAATGTACTAGCTTGCATTCCCATCAGCAGTGCAGAAGTGTTCCCTTTTCCATTTTATCTCTTTTTTAAAAATTCTCAAAATATAAACAAATTTAAAGTTTTTAATACCATACAAAGCATATTCTCTGACCACAGTGGAATTAAATCAGAAATCAATTACAGAAAAGTAATCTGAAAAAAATCTCCAAATATGTTGAAATGAACAACAGACTTCTTTCTAAATAACCTACAGGTCAACCAAGAATCATAGGGGGAATTAGTAAATATTTTTAACTAAATAAAAATGAAAATACAATACATCAAAAAAATTGTGATGCAACTAAAGCACTCATGGGGAAAAATTTATAGCCTTCTTTTATTAGAAAAGTGGAAAAACATCAAGTCAATGGCCTAACTTTCACCTTAAGAAACTACAGGTGAAAAAGAACAAATTAAACCCAAAGTCAGCAAAAGAAAAGAAACAGAAAGGTAATAACAGAAATTAAATTAATTTAAAAGAAAAACAGAAAGAAATAGGTAGAAAAATCAATGAAATCCAAACTTAGTTATTTAAGAAGATCAAGAAATTTCATAAACCTCTAGAACTGTGTTTTTGAGCCTTTTTTTTTTTTTTTTTATCTCATGGCACACTTGAACCTATAGTTAAACTTCTACAGCACACTTAGATTATGTTGATCAAAAACAAAAGAGTAAAAAAAGGAATATATTGTTCTTTGAACTTCTGTTGAAAATAATTAATGCTCTAAAAATTTTCCCAGCATATCTAAGATCCTCTCACAGCATACCTGTTGAAAATCACTGCTCTAGGAAGACTGATAAAAAAGAGAAAGAATTATAGATGTGAGAGAGAGAGAAAAGTTTCAGTCATGAATTATATCAGGAGTGAGAGATAGGACATCATTACTGATCCTAATGACATTAAAAAGATAAGAGATTTTTGGGTGGCACCTATGGCTCAAAAGGGTAGGACACTGGCCCCATATGCCTGGAGGTGGTGGGTTCCAACCTAGTCTCAACCAAAAAAAAAAAAAAGACATTTTTATAAATACCTTTCTGCCAATAAAATTTACAATTTGTCCATTAATGGACAATTTCTTTGAACAAACTACCAAAGTTCATTGAAGAAGAAATAGATAACCCAACAATAAAATTGCAATAAAAACACTTCCATGGAGAAAATTTCAGATCTCTTTGGCTCCAATGGTCAATATTTAAGGACAAAATAATAAATATTCTATACAAACTATCCTAAAAATTGAAAAAGTGGAAATACTTCCTAACTCAGTGCATGAGACCATCCTCACACAGAGGCCAAGACCAAAGACATTACAAGAAAATAAAACTACAGACCAGCATCTCTCATGAAAACAGAATAAATTATACTTAATAATGCATAATTTCCAGTAAATTATCCTCTGTTCACAATCAGACAATCCTGGGAATCAGAGAAAGTATCCCACTGTTTTGCTGGGTCTTCTGCCGCAAGGTCATCTATGAAAAGTTACCTTAGGAGAGAGATGTTCAGACAGAAATGTGGCCTGATCTTCCAGAAGGAAGGACCCATAGACTCCAGGGACAACACTTCCAGGAACAAGGAACCTGTCCTGGTTCTCAAGCCACCCTCTTGTCCTGGACACAATTCCTTCATGATCGTGTGGCTCCTGGTGCATCAGTGCTGGGCTGTGGTGTAGTCATTGAAGGCCTACTGAAGGCTCTTCACTTGTGGAGGTTCTTCAGCTTCTGAGATGTGCCAGAGAGCAGTCTAGGGTACCCTATGTGGTTGTCAACAAGGATAATGAAGGGAAGATTTAAACATAGGCGGGAGGGCCAGGGCATGTCTCAGTCCATGCTTAGACCTTGCTGGCCCTGGACACCATGGGCACCATTGGGGTTGGGCACAGCCCCATGACTTGGTGGTCATGTCCGTTCTTTCTCTGTGTTCAGGTGGATCATTACTCCTTGCTGTCAACGCTGCAGCTGATGTACACTGTGGGATACTCTTTCTCTCTAATTTCCCTCTTCCTGGCTCTTGCTCTCCTCTTGTGTCTCCGGTAAGTGGAACTTCTGCAGACGTGTTCAGGCATGTACAACAGTCCCCCACTATCTGCACGGCACATATTCCAAGATCCCCAGTGGAGGCCTGAAGGAACAGGTAGTTCCAAGCCCTATAGACAAACACATACACACATGCACACACATTGTTTTTACTATACATACATGCCGATGATAAAAGTTTAATTTGTAAATTAGGCACAAGAAGAGATTATCAACAACAATAATAAAATAGAATAATTACTACCATATACTATAATAAAAGTTACATGAATGTAGTCACTTTCTCTCTCAAAATATCTTTTTGTACCATACTCACCCTTCTTCTGATGAAGAAGGAATGGAGCAGGTCAGTACGAGGTTTCAACACGCTATTAAGAATGGTGTACACTTTAAAACTTGTGAATTATTTTTTTCTGGAATTTTTCATTTAACATTTTGAACCTTGGTTGATGGTGAGTAACCATGGAAAGTGAAATTGTAGGTGGGGAGTGACTACGGGATTTGTATGGCTGCCTCTAGGAGGCAGTGAAAGACTGGGTGGATATGTCATGACTCATCAAAGCTGGAATTCACCTGACAGCATCTTGAGTCTATCCATCTCATTTTGCAGATGAAGAGGGAAGAAAGGAGTATGAAAGTCCCAGTTAGAGGCATTGAATCACCCGTAGGCATCAAGCTGGTTCACTGCACAGCTAGAACTTGAATCTGAGACTCCTGACTTCCTTGCCTCTTTCTGATTAGATACCTTCTCTGTGCCTGGCCCTGTTCTGAATCCCTAATCTCACCCATTTCTACCACAGCCCAATCCTCCCCATGACTAATCAGAGACATTCTTTTTGTAGAAGAGGTTAAAAATCTTCCCTAAGGTAAATAAGTGAGTGGAAGAAATGGGATTTGAACCCAGCACCCTCGGACTCCAATCAACTGTCAAACTTAAGTGCCTCAAGCACTTTCCACAAGTGAAATCACTTAAATCTCATTCTAATTCAAATTAGGATTATTTCTAATATTAGGAAGTTAATATGATAATTGCCTGCACTTTATAAGTGGGTCAACTGAAATATGAAGAGATGAAATAACTGGCCCAGGGTCATACAGCTGGTGGGTGATGGAGCCAGGGTCACAATCCAGGACCTGAGCATTTTCACTCCCTTACACCGTCTCTCAGAATCCAGAGCCAGAGTGTATTTTACTAAATTGTGCTGTTAGAAATCACCCAAGCATGATATTTAAGGACCCACAGAAAGCCCTCTAAAGCTGTCTTTCAGTCTCAGCCTGTTAGGAATGTAAGTGACTATAATGTGCCAAAAGGGACATTTGATGCAGACACAGGGGACCTGGATGCTGCTAGCTTCAGGTCAGGCCCCATTTGACCCCTCAGGGTGTTCCACGGCTCTGGGAGCAGGACTGTGGCCACTACCCCATTGGGATGGCAGTTCTGCAGCTGTGGGAGAACCCACAGCCTGTGCCCCGTCTACGGCCTCCTTCCTCTGTGCACCTTCCTAAAGTCCCAGAACCAAGCCAGGAGGAAATAGCTGCCCAGCTGTGCAGGAAGACACTTCAGCTGAGCCCAGGTCCACTATGTCTGTTTTTCCTCAGGCTTGGGGAAAAGCAAGACCCAGTCATTGCCTTGGAATAGCCCCAAGCCTAGTCAGGGAGAAGGAAGCATAAGTCATACACACGAGGACTGGCCTTAAGTCCGTTTTGGAAATTAGAAATGTAATAATGGCTCTAAAGCAAAGTGGGACTGGGAATGTGCTAGGAAAGAGGGCCTTCAGGTAGCAAAAACCAAGGATACAGTATCATATCAACTGGGTGACAAAGAGGCTGCAGGAGACTCCAGGGGGTGAGGGAGAAGCAATGGGAACCCACATTTTTCTGAGCACTTATCACATGCATCTTACACAGATTACCTGATTTCATCATCCCAGAGCCCTTTGAGGAAAGCTCTCTGGTTGTCAGAGGCAGTGGAGCCTTGGAGTGGCCTCAGAGTTTTTGGTCTGGGACTCTGGCTCTACCACTGACTGCTTGGGATGCTGGGGAGGTGACTTAATCTTTCTGCTTCAGTTCGCTTATTTATAAAATCAGGGGAATAATAGTGCCAACTCCCTCAGAGGTGGTAAGGAGCGAGGATGCCCACAGGTATGTCCACATGAAAATGGCCTGGCACATGGAACATGTCATACAGGTGACAACTGTTATTACCCCTACTTTACAGATGCAGAAAATGAGACACAGACAAGTAAGATCACAAAACCTAGTGGTTCAGCTCTGGACCCTGCACTGCCAACCTCTGTATTTAGTGATAGATACGTAAGCACGACAGGCATTCACCTGTTGGTCTGAGCCATTCTTTCCTGAGGGAAGGAATTCGATTTTCTCCTTGCACAGAAGACTCCACTGCACACGCAACTACATCCACATGAACTTGTTTGCTTCTTTCATCCTGAGAGCCATGGCTGTACTGGTGAAGGATATCGTCTTCTACAACTCTTACTCCAAGAGGCCGGACAATGAGGATGGATGGATGTCCTACCTGTCAGAGGTAAGCCACTTCGCTATTATTTAAGTCAGCTCTCCCAGGTTCCCAGGTAATGGGTCAGTCCTGGGACCCAGAAGGCAGGCAGGTGAGGCTGCTCTATCTCCTCTTCCCCTCTCCAGCCTCAGGGGGAAGAGGAGATAGAGGGGTGCCCTAGACTTCTGGTTCAGAGGCAGCATGTGCCTCAATAAAACCATCACCTCCCAAGAGTGGGCCAAGTGAAGGAGCCAGACGCAGAAAGGGTCACTGTGGCCACTGTACCTCTTTATGGAGGAAATGTCTTAATTTTATGGCAAAAGAATTGGATTAGATTGGCTTTTTAAACAATTAAAGTTTGGCACCCCTCTGGATCCAGGGGTTTTGTGTTTGTGGATTCAACCACCCTCAGGTAGAAAATGTTTGGGGAGAAGTAAAAAGGATGGTTGGATTTGTATGGAACATGTACACGTCCCCCCTCTTCATTATTCATTAAACAATTCAGTTTAATGACTATTTGCACAACATTTACATTTTTATTGAGTATTATAAATAATCTAAAGATGATTTAAAGTATGTAGGAGAATGTGCATAGGTTATACGTAGATACAGTGCCATTTTACATAAGGGACTTGTTGGATTTTGGTATCTGAGAGGGAGATCCTAGAACCAATCCCCTGAGGATACTGAGGTATGACTGCATTATATATTTTTTAATGCAGCAAATCTTTTCCACATTGAAATCTGCAACTATTGAGAGGATTTTTCATTTATCTTACTAATACTGCAGTAACCTGTTAAACTAACCTTGCATTCCTGAAATATATTCAGCTGGGTTTCTCCTATATTGATGAATTCTGCCTACTAATGCCATATTTTGTTTAGCATTGCCTTATTTACATTCATGAGAAATATTGGCCTGTAATTTTCCTTTCCTTTAAAGCCTTTGTCAGGTTTGGATATTAAGTTTGACCTCTTAAAAAAATTGGAACTACTTATAAGTGAAAACACATGGTATTTGTCTGAAGGAGGTTTTTTGTTTTTGTTTTTCTATTTATTATTCAAATATTACTTCATATTCATGCTATCCAATTTTACTCAATGAAACTCCTACTAAAAATGGCAAAAATGTAAAAAATAAATTGGAGGTAGTTCCTTGGTCCACTATTCTCTGAAAGAATTTGTTTAAGCTTTGTTTTCTTTCTTTCCTAAGTATTTGGTAGATTACACCAGTAAAACCTTTTGGACTCAGAATTTTCTTCACTTGATCTTAGCCAAAAGGCCGAGAAGCGATGGACTCAGAATTTTCTTTAGTGGAACTTTTGAAATTATGGATTAATGAATCTTGCATTTATATTTTCTATTTCTTCTGGTCATCTGTGGTAACAAGTTTTCCTAGGCAAAAGTCTATCTCATCTAACTTTTCAAATGTATTGGTATTCCTTCTATTATTCACGATGTTCTCTTCAGTCTTGAAGATCTTTTCGAGTCTGTTGGGTCAGTGAGTGTGCTCTTACTGTCATTCCTGATACTGATGATTCCCATCTCTGTCCCCCTTATCTCCCCATGATTAGTCTTGCCAGAAGTTTCTCAATTTTATTGGACTTTCCAAAGAACAAACTTTCGGCATTGTTGATCCTCTGTTTCATTTGTTTCTGCTTTTATCTTTCTTTCCTCTAATGTACTTTCTTTGTGTTTGATTTGCTAGTTTTTATAACTTTTTTGACATGATTTTTAGCCTTTTTCTTTTCCAATGATTGCGTTTAAGGTTACATGTTTCATTCTAGGCTTGGTATTAGCTGAATACCATAAGTTTTGCCATACAGTATTTTCCTTATATTCTGGAAATTAATTTCTAACTCATGTTATAATTTTTTCTTTGGTCTATGGCTTACCTAGAAGTCTAATTCCTAATTGCTAACCTTATTAAGAGATTTTTATTTCTAGGTTAATAGAACTAGGGGTTCTAGAGGTTAGAGAATATACTCTTTGGTATTTCCATGAGGGCAGTTGCTGCTGATGAATTTTTTCTGTTTTTGTTTGTTTAAAAACATTCAGAATATCAAGGAAGAGGCTGGTCTTTGCCGCCTACATGAAGATCTCCTTTTTTCATGTGCTGACATCATTGCCAACTTCTCTGAGCTGGTTGGCAAGGGTCGGAAGAGAGGGGAGTAGAGAGGGAGGGGTTGTTCTGGGGGTGGAGGCAGATGCTGGGAAAGGCTGGACTCATGATCATGCTCGGCTGTTCTGCCCCCTATAGATATCAACCTCGTGCCGCTCAGTCCAGGTTCTCCTGCACTACTTCGTGGGTGCCAATCACTTATGGCTGCTGGTTGAAGGCCTTTACCTCCACGCCCTGCTGGAGCCCACAGTGCTTCCCAAGAGGCGGCTATGGCCCAGATACCTGCTGGTGGGTTGGGGTGAGTGACCTGGTCCCTGGCTTCCTCTCCTAGGGAACCCATCAGAATGTGGGACTCCCTAGAGCATTTGGTTGGAATTAGAAACCTAACTAGAGGGTGGCTTCTGGGACAGATAAGCCCTCAATGACAAGAGGCTCTGAAGAGAAGTATGTGTGTGTGTGCATGCACAGACATGCACACAGTGTTCACAGTGATGTAGGCCCAATGAGCACATTCAAAAATTGAGAAGTTTTTTGATGGAATTGGATGACACTCCTACCTTGCTCCCAGCTATATTGATTTGTTTGGGATGCCATAATGAAATATTATTGTAACTTAAACAATAGACATGAATTGCTCATGTTTTGGGAGGCTGGAAAGCCCAGCATGGCTCTGTTCTGATGAGGGCTCTTTCTGGTTTGCAGATAGCTGCCTTCATGCTGTTTTCTCACAAGACAATGAGAGAGAGTATGCAAGCTCTCTGGTCTCTGTCTCTCTCTCTCTCTCTCTTTTTTTTTTTTTTTTTTTGCTGTTTTTGGCTGGGGCTAGGTTTGAACCAACCACCTCCGGTATATAGGGCCAGCACCCTACTCCTTTGAGCCACAAGCTGTACCCCTCTCTTTTTATAAGGGCACCAATCCTGTCATGAGAACCCCACCTTCATGACCTCTACCTCCAAATACCATCACACTGGGTATAGGGCTTTAACATGAATTTTTAGAGGATGTGACATTTGATCCATAACACCAAGTCTTCAAGAAGAGATTCTTTGATTACAAAAAATATGATCAAGATTATCCAGATAGAATTTGATGCTGCAGGATTCCAAGGAAATAACAACCTGGGCCTATAATTCAGGACATTTTGGTTAACACTGCACTGCTTTTGTGACAAGTGGCAAATCCCTTCTCTTGGATTCCTAATTTCTCAAATATTAAAACAACAGATGGCCCTGTGCTGCTGCTGTAGGACTTTCTAGTTCTGAGAGTCTGTGAGTCTATAATGTTTGGGTTTTATAAGTTGTCAACTCCTGTGCTTGGCCCCAATCAGGCCTTGGGGGAAGGCAGGCAGGTTTGGCTAACCAGCTTATAACTACATTTCTCTGTGTTTTCTCCCCAGCCTTCCCTGTGCTATTTGTTGTCCCTTGGGGTATTGCCCGTGCACACCTGGAGAACACCGGGTAGGTGATTCACCTGGTTTTGTTCTTCCATGAGCAGTAATTTCCAGATATGGCCAAATGTAAGCAATTACACCATTTCCCCCAAAGAAAATATCCATCCTCTTTCATTTTGGCTATCTAGACATTAGAATATATTTAGGAATGTAGATAAATAATCAAAGATCTTAGAGTAGTTTATTGCTTTAGCTCCATATGCAAATTAGCACAAAGATGTTGTCTAGGTGAGCTGCAGCCCTTCATATGCAAGGACATAAATATAGATGTGGTCACTGCAGTCCTGGTCACAGTAAGGAAAGAAAAAAAAGCAAACAAACCTGGCATACCCATCACGGGGGGCATTACTGAGCAAATTGTGGCATATCTGTATTGGGAATATTATGAGACTACTAGGAGAAAAACCAAGTTGGTCTTCATGGGAACTCTCAGGGACTGAATCGCAACTATACTTTAAGCCTGTTGCTAAATAATTATTGTATGTTAGCATTTTTTTCCCTCCAAATTATGACCACCAAAACCTCCCGCTATGTAATTAAGGATTTTTGTTTGTATGAACATGGTGAAAAATGTGGAAAGATGTACAAACAAGGCACCTTACTGGTAAGAAAAGTCAACAGTACCAGTACTAACGAGAAGAGAGTTTAGTTCTCTTTTCCACCTCTGCCATGCCTGAGGGGAGCCATTGGTTTGAAGTCAAGCTTGAGAGCAAGCATCATTATTCCAGAGGCCATGAGACTTTGACATTCAACCTCTTCTCACTTCTTATGTCTTCTTTTACTTCCTGCTCTTTACCTTTAGGTGCTGGGCAACAAATGGGAATAAGACAATCTGGTGGATCATCCGAGGACCCATGCTGCTTTGCATAACAGTAAGGACCATCCCACCCACCTATTTTGCCTCTGAGCTCAGCAGCTCTGGGAAACATCCCACATGCCCCAAACTCTGATCCCTTGAGAAGGAGAAGCTGTACTGTGAGTACTTTCTGCTGAAGGAGAGGTTAGAAACTTCTCTATGTTCTGGTTCAGGACCTAAATTCAGAGTTACACTGTAAGCCTTCTTCCCTCTGGGTCTTCAGGCTCTGTAAAGTAGTGTATTTCAAACTTTTTTTAATCTCATGGCACACTTGAACCTATAGTTAAACTTTTGTGACACACTAAAAGTATGTTGATCAAAAAAAAGGAGCAAAAGGGAAAAAAAAAGAATATACTTACTGGGCTTTGAATTTCTTCCAAAAATAATTTAATTAATGATCTTTAAAAATTTTCAAGGCACACTTAAGATCCTCTCATGGCACACTGGTGTGCCACATCACACTGGTAAGAAATCACTGCCATAAAGAGACCTGCAATCAGCTCTGTAGTCCTGTATTGTACTGTGGTGCATGGAAGGCTCTGGGAATACAGGTTCCTTCAGTGATTGAGGAGCCCAGCAACAACAGGATTAATGTCTTTTTTTAAAATTAAATCGTAGCTATGTACATTAATGCAATCATGGGGTACAATGTGCTGGTTTTATATATAATTTGAATTGTTTTCATCAAACTGGTTAACATAGCCTTCACAGCATTTTCTTAGTTATTGTGTTAAGACATTTATAATCTACACCTAGTAAATTTTACATGTACCCTTGTAAGATGCACTGTAGGTGTGGTCCTGCCAATTACTCTCCCTCCACCCATCCTCCCCGTCCTCTCCCTTTTCCTCTTCTTCTTGGGCTATAATTGGGTTATAGCTTTCATAAGAAAGCTATAAATTGGTTTCATTGTAAGACTGAGTACATTGGATACTTTTTCTTCCATTCTTGAGATACTTTGCTAAGAAGAATATGTTCCAGCTCCATCCATGTAAACGTGAAAGAGGTAAAGTCTCCATCTTTCTTTAAGGCTGCATAATATTCTATGCTATACATATACCACAATTTATTGATCCATGCATCAGTCGATGGGCACTTGGGCTTCTTCCATGATTTAGCAATTATGAATTGGGCTGCAATAAACATTCTGGTACATATATCTTTATTATAACATGATTTTTGGTCTTCTGGATATATACCTAGTAGAGGAATTGTAGGATTGAGTGGCAGGTCTATTTTTAGATCTCTAAGTATTCTCCAAACGTCTTTCCAAAAGGAATGTATTAGTTTTGCATTCCCACCAGCAGTGTAGAAGTGTTCCCTTTTCTCCACATCCACACCAGCATCTCTAGTTTTGGGATTTTGTGATGTGGGCTAATCTTACTGGAGTTAGGTGTTATCTCAAAGTAGTTTTGATTTGCTTTTCTCTGATGATTAAGGATGATGAGCATTTTTTCATGTGTTTGTAGGCCATGCACCTATCTTCTTCAGAGAAGTTTCTCTTCAAGTCCCTTGCCCACCTTGAGATGGGATCGCTTGTTCTTTTCTTGCTAATACGTTTGAGTTCTCTGTGGATGCTGGTTATTAAACCTTTGTTGGAGACATAATCTGCAAATATCTTCTCCCATTCTGAGGGCTATCTGCTTGCTTTACTTACTGTGTCCTTGGCTGTGCAGAAGCTTTTTAGTTTGATCAGGTCCCAGTAGTGTATTTTTAATGCTGCTTCAATTGCCCAAGGGGTCCTCCTCATAAAATATTCGCCCAGGCCGTTTTCTTCAACAGTTTTCCCTGCACTTTCTTTTAGTATTTTTATAGTTTCATGTCTTCAGTTTAAATCTTTAATCCAGTAAAAGTCTATCTTAGTTAATGGTGAAAGGTGTGGGTCCAGTTTCAGTCTTCTGCAAGTCGCCAGCCAGTTCACTCAGCACCATTTGTTAAATAGGGAATCTTTTCCACCCTGATGTTTTTAATTGGCTTGTCAAAGATCAAATAACAGTAAGTAGCTGGGTTCATCTCTTTGTTCTCTATTTTGTTCCATATATCTACCTCTCTGTTTTGTGCCAGTACCAGGCTGTTTTGATCATTATTGATTTATAGTATAGTCTGAAGTCTGGTAGCGTAATTCCTCCTGCTTTGTTTTCATTTCTGAGTAATGTCTTGGCTATTTGAAGTTTTTTTCTGATTCCATATGAAATAAAGTATTATTTTTTCGAGATCTTTAAAATATGACAGTGGAGCTTTAATAGGGATTGCATTAAAATTGTATATTGCTTTGGCAGTATGGACATTTTAACAATGTTGACTCTTCCCAGCCATGAGCATGGTATGTTTTTCCATTTGTTAACATCTTTAGCTATTTCTTTTCTTAAAGTTTCATAGTTCTCTTTATAGAGATCTTTCACGTCCTTTGTTAGGGAAACTCCCAAATATTTCATCTTCTTTGGTACTACTGTGGTGAATGGAATAGAGTCCTTGACTTTTTTTTCATCTTGACTATTGTTGGTATATATAAAGGCTACAGATTTATGAGTGTTGATTTTGTAACCTGAGGCACTGCTGTATCCTTGATCACTTCTAAGAGTTTTGTAGTAGAATCCCTGGTGTTTTCCAGGTATACAATCATGTCATCTGTGAAGAGTGAAAATTTAATCTCTTCTGACCCTATATGGATACCCTTGATCACCTTTTCTTCCCTAATTGTGATGGCTAAGACTTCCATTACGATGTTAAAAAGCAATGGAGACAATGAGCAACCTTGCCTGGTTCCTGATCTGAGTGGAAATGATTTCAAGTTAACTCCATTCAATACAATATTGGCTGTGGGTTTGCTGTAGATGGCCTTTATCAATTTGAGAAAAGTCCCTTCTATACCAATTTTCTTACGTGTTCTGATCATGAAGGATGCTGGATATTATCAAAAGCTTTTTCTGTATCAATTGAGAGAATCATATGGTCTTTATTTTTTAATTTGTTTATGTGATGAATTATATTTATAGATTTATGTATATTGAACCAGCCTTGAGACCCTGGGATAAAACCCACTTGGTCACTGTGTATAATTTCTTTGATGTATTGCTAGATTCTGTTTATTAGGATCTTGTTGAATATTTTTGCATTGATATTCATTAATGATATCGGTCTATAACGTTCTTTTCTTGTTGGGTCTTTTCCTGGTTTGGGGATCTAGGTGATGTTTGCTTCATAGAATGTGTTGGGTAGTATTCCTACTTTTTCCTACTATTTTGGAAAAGGTTGAGTAATATAGGCACTAGTTCTTCTTTAAAGGTTTGGTAGAATTCTGATGTGAAGCCATCTGGTCCCAGGCTTTTCTTTTTAGGGAGATTTGTATTGTTGATGCTATTTCAGAACTTGATATAGGTCTGTTCAACATTTCCATTTCATTCTGGCTAAGTCTTGGAAGGTGGTGTGCTTCCAAGTATTGGTCTATTTCCTTCAGATTTTCATATTCTGAGAATAAAATTTCTTATAATATTCATTAA